GTTCTTCTGGTTTTAAATGAATTATGTATGAGTCTAGTATCATCTGGGTGTTCAAAGATAGTTTACTGCTTGAAGAACTTATCAATGGACCAACTAATTATAAAACAGTTTTTAATGAAAATAAAAACGAATTATCAAAAGATTTAAATCAGCTATTTGTGTATATTTAAACACTTTATTTTTTGTGAGAAGAGATTATTGATATAAGTACCATAAAATAATTCTACTACCAAAAGCTAGGTTAATTCAAAACCTTTAACTCAATTTTGGTCATGAATTATTTTATTAGAATTGATGAGTTTTTATTTATTAACTACCTAACACCATATTATTAGAACTTTATTTTGTAATGTAATGATTTTATCAGCGTTCCAAAATAATTTTCTAAATCAAGAACTTCTATATTAAAAAAAGTACTCATTTAACAACTAATCCCCCCTTATAACAACGTTTTTCATAATTTTGCGAAAAATGTGGTTTGCTTTCACAATTCGATTAAGGCTGTTTTAGTTAACCTTAAATAATTAAGTAAGGTTTTTTTGTTTTCATTATTGTCAAACAATTAGTGTATTTGATAATAACTATTAGGAATATATTTTTCTAATTTTTTTTTGATAAAAAGTAACATCAAATTACAAAAATTAAGCCAAATTCAATATATGTCATATTTATTCTAAACTAAAAGAAGTTTTTCTACTAATGCATTAAATGTCATAAGGTAAAACATTTTATTGATGTCTTAATTGTTTTTACAAAACAAAATTACCTCTTATATTTCAAAAGTTATAAAAGTTTTAGTAACACCCCTTTAGTCAATATTTTCAAAAATTAACAAGAAGCCGTTAAGCTCGGTTTGAAACAGCCGTGCCACGTTTCTCATGGCTGAAAGAATTAAATATCTTTAATTTGAAACAACAATACAAACATATGAGAAAAAATTTGCTCGATGAAGATGAAATAGTTACTTAAAAGAAACAGTAAAAGCATTATTAAGCTTTAATCAAGTAAGTGTCTTACTTTCGCGTGATGTTGCATTAGTACGATGCGATTTCGCGTCTTACTTATGCAAGATGTTCTTTAATTATTCCAAGTATAAAGTACCTTGAGAAGCAACTAAATAAGAAAAAAAGTGATACCCCTCCTTTAATTGTGCTGTTAAAATTGCATTTACTAGAATCTTTACAAACTTATAAAGATTAATAGGAATCAAAGAATAATTCGCTTTAATTAGGTGCCACTTTTTTGGATCCAAATTATAAAAGTTTTCAATTCTTTGAAAAGTAGGAGAAAAAATATTTAAAATGTGTTAAGGAAAATTTGTGATATAATTCCAGTTAAAAACGCGACAATCAAATCAAAAAAATTTAAGTTATCATTTGATGAAGATTATAGTGACAAAATAATAAGTTAAAAAAAGAAATTAGTGGTTATATAAAATTGTCAGTAAATGAGCAAAATATTTAACAGTTTTGGCTTCAAAATCAACATGTGTTTACGCCTGCTTTCTGTGCACTAAATGAACGTGATTTTAATGTTCTCGAGTGTGCAGCTTTATTATGTTGCCTAAACCGTAAACTTCTTTTTTTTACCTTTATTATTTTGATAGTTTGATTATTTACATGACAATAGGTTTGGGGAGGGTTAATAAAGGGGATTTAATGCTCATTTATAATTATAAAGTGAACACAATATTTTTTTACCTTCTGTGTAAGTGACATATTTTTATATCTTCTGTATTTGGAAGAACTAGAATGTTAAATGTTTCTACTGAATTTTTTCTAATTTTTTTTTACTGTATTATGCTTTGCTTATCTGTTTTGCATTACTTTTTTTTGCTTATATATTTTGTATTGCTTATCTACTGTATTTTGTTTTGTTTTTCTGTTGTTTTTATTTTTACTTTTTTTTTTTTTTTTTTTTTTGTATTTAGGGTGGTTATCAATTAGAGAGATTGGTATTTGAAGGGACCATAGATTTGTTGTGAAAATTAGAGATTGAATCCATTCCTATAATATAGCAGGGGACAGGGCCGTAATAAACAATGAAGACGTGTGTGTGTCTGGGGGGTACAAATAAAAAAAGCTTTTTACCTTAAAATAACTACCAAAGTAGTTTTTTTTTTTTTTAAAGAAGCCAAATCTCAGTTTTAACTGACAGGGTCCTAAATTTTCCAAATTACCAACAAAACCGACAGAATATTGTAAATCTGGGAAGGTACCCACACCCCCGTTGGTACGGCCTTGGCAGAGAAGATTATTCTTGATGTGGGATTATTATTACACATTACCTATAGGGCGCGACACTTAAAAAATTTAAGTTAAACATTCAATAAGCGTACCCAATTTGATTTAATTGACTAAAGGGCATTATTTGTATATTCCATGCTGATTGGGTGTTTGTAAACAGTTGCAACAACCTCATAAAAAATTAAAATAATCAAATTTAGCTTAGAGCATTTTTTCTGAATAATAGTTTAATTCGACTGGACTCTAGGATTCACAATTAGTATAGTATTTAATTATGATAAAATAATATTTAACCGCCTTAATAAAGCTTCCTTGGGTGTAAAATTTTAATGCTAAAGATTATTTATTTTTTCAAGCACTAAATCTTTTTTCAAGCACTAAATATTTAGCGTAACTAAATTTAGTGGACTAAAATAAGTTACACTAAATATTTAATAGACTAATTTGGGTTATGTAAAAAGTTAGTTGTCTGACTATAGTTAGCTAAAACATTAGTCGACTAATTTTAGTTAGACTAAAAAGTTAGTCTGGTAATTTTAGTTAGCTAAAAATTTAGTTGGGTAATTTTAGTTAGACTAAAACTAACCTTAACTCCCACCCCTATATGATTAAGGATATTACTTAAACTATGATGAGATTTTTAAAATTGACATTGATACATAGTATACACACACACAACTATAAATGCATGTTTAGATAACATGTCTGAGAAACACTGTAGCCTACTGCTGGGGGGGGGGGGGGGATTCAAGATATACATCAGCTATCTTATAACTTGCTATCTTATAACTTGCTGCCTCAAACTAGTGTCACTACATCGACTGAGGGTTTGGGATGGGGCAACAGTTTTTCTTTTCTTTCATTATTCTGTTTTTTTTCTTTCTGAAAAAGTATATATGTATATATATGCATATATATATATATATATATACATACATATATATATATATATATATATATATATATATATATATATATATATATATATATATATATATATATATATATATATACATATATATTATATATACATACATATATATAATATATGTATATATATTTAAACAATTTTAAAAATGTATTCTATAAAATAGAGTGCTCAATGTTCTTAAAAGAACAGAGCAATTATAAATTAGTAGAAAATCACTTAAAATTAAAAAAAATTTTAATTTCTGATGAGTTGTTGTTGATGAAACACTGTAAAATGAAAATATTTTTGCTAAGTGATTTTCTACTAATTTATATATAATATATATGTATATATATATATATATATATGCATATATTTATATATGCATATATATATATACATATACATTAGGGTGGGTCATAAAATTTTTTTTTCTTGTAACAGGCTCTAAACATTGCTAATAGTTATTAATATTGATACTATCTAATATGAGAATGATTGTGATAGATTTAAAGGGCGCAACTTTATTGGGAAAATTAGCGGTACCCTAATATTTTGGAGAAAAAAAGCTTTTCAAAAATAGATCAACCTGGTACTCAAAGAAGCGAAATTTTATAAAAAATTCGAAAATAATAATCGTTTTATGAAAATCATATTGCTGAAAAAAATTGTTATTAAAAAACATGTAAAAATGCACCTTTTTTACTTTTAGTTAAAAAACTATAGTTATTATGCAATAAAATCTATAATAATAATTTTTATATGAAAAAATTATTATTTTTGAAATTTTTATAAAATTTCACTTTATTTGAGTACCTACATCACATAATTTTGAAAAACTTTTTTTTTTTGAATAATAATAGGGCCTGCTAATTTTTGTAATTACAGTTGCGGGTGGAAGACATTGTTCAAACCATAAAAGTAAATACTTTCTTAAATTAGTACATAAAGAAACAACTTTCTAGACCATAGCCAGGTTAGCAACTCTAAAAAAAAATTTTATGACCCAACCTAATATACATATAGATATGTGTGAATGTGTGTGCAGTAGTGGTGTAGTGGTAGAGTGCTTGCTTCATAAGCGTGAGGTTCCAAGTTCGATCCCCACCAGGTAACACGCCTATTAGTAACACCCTCAACTTGTTTCTCTGCACAGCGCCCTTGTTCGCCAAGGTTTGTGTTTTGGAGTTATAGAGTTGAGAGAGGGTTATAACCAAAATTAAGTAGCCTCCGCATCTGTATTAATCTTCTTGGCCTTGAGGAGGCGAATTTAAATATACATACATATATAAAGTCATATGCTTTAAAACTAGTAATAAGGCAATTGCTGATCTATATATGCTGTAGTAGATATATATATATATATATATATATATATATATATATATATATATATATATATATATATATATATATACAAATATATATATATATATATATACAAATATATATATATATATATATATATATATATATATATATATACAAATATATATATATATATACATATATATATATGTGTGTGTGTAGTAGTGGTGTAGTGGTAGAGTGCTCGCTTCATAAGCAAGAGATTCCGAGTTCGATCACCACCAGGTCCCTATTAGTACCGTGCTCAAGAAATTTCTTCGCACAGCGCCCTTGTTCTTCGAGGTTTGTATTTTGGAGTGTATTATCTGGAGTTATTATCTTATCTGTAGTGGACTTCTTGGTCTTAAGGAGGTGAATTTAAATATACATACATATATGTATGTATGTATATACGGGTTCTTAATAATATATAAAAAAAAGTTTTTTTAATGTCACTATAGAGTGTATATTAGCTAGACAGAATGTAACAAACATACCTTAATAAAACTTGCAAAACTTTATCAATAATCACTTTATAAATTGTTTCAACTTCATTCTAAATTAAAAAACAGTTTAACTAATTTCTATGTATTTTTGGGCGCCAAAATTATATTTGGTTTTAGAACTCAAAAGTTACAGAAAATTTAAGAGGAGAAATCTAAAGGTTGAGAAAAGTTTTGAAATAAAATAATTCCTAAGATCCTTGTCAATAAAATATGCAAAGTATATTAACTGGAAAAAAACAAACAGTTGAGTCATTCATGAGAACTTCTAATATAACAACAAACAACTTTATGGCAATTTTAGAATTTACTGCTAATTTAATATAATTTAAATGATTAAAAATATATTTTTTAAATCTTGAATATTAGGCTCGCTAAAAAGTAAAGAACAATTTTTCAAAAAATATTTATTATTTATTTTTTTTAAAATAAATAATTAAAATAAATTATTAAAAAGACTTTTTGATTGTTAATAAAATCAGAACACTTTACACAACAAAGTTAAAATTGATGCAAATAATTTAAAAAGTAAAATACCTGCTTTTCTTCGTAAAACTTTGGAACAGTAAAAAGAAGGATGAAAACTTAAATGATAAATATTGATAAATGATAAATCTGAAATACTTATAATTAAAAATATGGACACAATTAAAAATAGTAATTATTATATTAAAATATTTTTATACTAATTATTTTTAATACTAATGTTAGAGCAAAACACTAATAAATAAAAAATCTTAGCAATATCATACCAATTATCGTTAAAGTTAAAACACTCAGACAAGAACCAATGTAAGATACAAGCCATAAAAATAACCCAAACTAAAATGTAAATAGTAAATAATAATTTCTTAAATTTATATTTTTTAATTTATAAATTGAGTATGCTATAAAGACAAACAACACTTTACTTTGTACTTACATCTAGTCAAAGTAAAACTATACCGAAAGCATTTGCGAATGAAAAAAAAAAACAACATAGAACATACATCTGGGAAAAAAGGAAAAACTTGAGGTCTGGTTATAAGAAGAGAAGGAAAAGAAAAAAAGAAGAGAAGGAAAAGAAAAAAAGAAGAGAAGGAAAAGAAAAAAAGAAGAGAAGGAAAAGAAAAAAAGAAGAGAAGGAAAAGAAAAAAAGAAGTGAAGGAAAAGAAAAAAAGAAGTGAAGGAAAAGAAAAGAAGAAGAGAAGGAAAAAAAAAAAGAAGAGAAAAAAAAGAAAAAAAGAAGAGAAGGAAAAGAAAAAAAGAAGAGAAGGAAAAGAAAAAAAGAAGAGAAGGAAAAGAAAAAAAAGAAGAGAAAGAATAGAAAAAAAGAAGAGAAGGAAAAGAAAAAAAGAAGAGAAGGAAAAGAAAAAAAGAAGAGAAGGAAAAGAAAAAAAGAAGTGAAGGAAAAGAAAAAAAGAAGTGAAGGAAAAGAAAAGAAGAAGAGAAGGAAAAAAAAAAAGAAGAGAAGAAAAAGAAAAAAAGAAGAGAAGGAAAAGAAAAAAAGAAGAGAAGGAAAAGAAAAAAAGAAGAGAAGGAATAGAAAAAAAGAAGAGAAGGAATAGAAAAAAAGAAGAGAAGGAAAAAAAAAGAAGAGAAGGAAAAAAAAAGAAGAAGAGAAGGAAAAGAAAAAAGAAGAGAAGGAAAAGAAAAAAAGAAGAGAAGGAAAAGAAAAAAAGAAGAGAAGGAAAAGAAAAAAAGAGAAAAAAAAGAAAAAAAGAAGAGAAGGAAAAGAAAAAAAGAAGAGAAGGAAAAGAAAAAAGAAGAGAAGGAAAAGAAAAAAAGAAGAGAAGGAAAAGAAAAAAAGAAGAGAAGGAAAAGAAAAAAAGAAGAGAAGGAAAAGAAAAAAAGAAGAGAAGGAAAAGAAAAAAAGAAGTGAAGGAAAAGAAAAGAAAAAATAAGAGAAAAAAAGACTGCAATAAAAAGAAAATTACTAAATATAAGAAATACAACTTTGACATTTAAGGACATATTATACAGTAGCTTTCATAAATTTAGACGCATTCATTTTTTTTTTTCATATATGTAAGAAAATACTCAAAATAAAAATAAAATAAAAGTGCTACCGCTATGTTTGATATATAATTTAAAAGAGGAAGTAAAAATCTAATTATTGAGTACCTTCATTTTTTTTACAGGATGTTTATTTCTCATTCTATACCGATTAAAACAAAAAAGTTAATTGATAAGCTTGATTTTATTTTGTTCATAAATTTAGACGCACAATCAAAAAAGTCTTATATCTTGTTAATTGATAGTTAATTTGTAGGTTTTTCCCATATTTCTCATTAATAGGCCTAAATTAATTGATTTTGTCAAAAAATCTTATATAAATATGACTTACCTGGAATTAGTTAATCATTATTTAATAAATAAACAAAAGTTAAGTTAGTTTTTCACTAAAAAGACGCGAAAAATGGGCGAAAGACGTATCACTCAAGGTGAAAGATGGCAAATTATTGCGCACATCAAAGAAGGAACCAAAAGTAATAGAGAAATTGCCAAGTTAATTGGATTTTCTGAGAAATGCGTTCGGACAACGAAACAAAACTTTCTTCACACTGGTGGTGCCAGCGAGAAAACGAGGCCAGGTAGACCCTTGTCAACCACCAGAATGGACGACAGTGTTCGTTTTAGAGCTGTCAGAGCTAATCCAAGAATTAGTTACAAAGAATTGACCACAGAATTCAATACAACGCGAAATACATCTATTTCTCAAAGCATAGTCCGCCGAATACTTATCAAATACAAGATTGGAGTCTACACTGCTTTGAAGAAACTGCTTCTGCGTCCATATGATAAACAAAGGAGACTAAAATGGTGTCGTGAAAGAAGGTATTTGACAATAGAACAATGGGAAAACATTATGTGAAGTGATGAGAGTAACTTTGAACTTATCAATCGCAAATCTAACATAACAGTCAACAGAATGGCTCACGAAAAGTATTACGCCAGGTACATTAGACCGACTGTACTAAGTGGAGAAGGCTCGATAGGAATCTGGTCATGCTTCAATTACAAAGGTGTTGGTATGTGCCAAACATACACCGGAAGAATCAACTCCAGAATATACGTAGAAGTACTGGAAAACAACCTAATTCCATCAATTGACCTGCTTATGCTCAATGATAAACCATAGAAACTTCAACAAGATGGCGCTACTGCACATACTGTATACTGTACAAAGGAGTGGTTCAACAATAATAATATCATGACAATACCGTAGCCTCCATATTTACCTGATTTGAACTCGATTGAAAACATTTGGGCTTGGATTGACCGTGAATTAGCAAAGGTTCAAATTTCCACACTTGGTCAGCTGAAGGAATTCCTTAAGGAGACCTGGTATGGGGTCCTAGAAGCGATGCGCAAAAATCTTGTTGAGTCTATGCCTAGAAGAGTTCTTAGTTGTATTAAAGCAAAAAGCGGATACACAAAATATTGATTGGTTCATGAATTACGCCTTCTAATGTATCGTGCGTCTAAATTTATGAATAATTTTTTTTGTCTAATTTTTTTAATACCATGTAGTTGTACCTAATTATTACTTAGTATTTCATTTTTTTTTTGTAAACTTTTTTTAAATTTTGTATTCTGTATGTATTTATCTAATAAATAGAAAAAAAACTTAACCGAAATCTTTTTTCGTCATTGTTTTATCGTTAAAAACTAAAAATTTCTATTCTCAAATATGAGTGCGTCTAAATTTATGAAAACCACTGTATATATCAAAAAACAAATAGGATATGTATACAATATATATGAAATATGCAGGGTGTTAGCCAGCCTGATGGCACCATGTATAATATGGTATTCCCAATTGGTTTAAAATTCCCAAAGGTTCATAAGATCATAGTAAAAAATAAATAAAAATGAAAACAAAAATAAAAAAAGATATATATGTAACTAATTGTTTAAACCTTTTAAAAGTGTATTTTAAAGCAATGTACGCAATTAAAACAGATCAAAGTCTCAATAAATAAAAAAATAAAAGTTTCAACTAATAAGTTTAATAACTCATTCATTAGAACTGTAAAGAATTGTCTTTTGTTCATGTATTCTCTCTACTATATCAAACAAAGAAGCAATTTAAAAATCAAAACTTTAGAAGATTGCTCAAAATGAAACAAGTTGAATAATTAGAATTAAACATTTACCAAGTAGAAAAATATTCCTTCTATGAATGTAGCCCAGCAAAAATAAAAAATTTATTTTATTTTTAAATGTCACAATGTAATGATCTTTTTTTTTTTGGCAAAAAAAAAAAAAAGGTCACTGTAAAAATTATGGCCATATAAATTTCGCAAAAAACCTGTATACATTTTTTTCCAGGCTAACACCCTGATATGTATCCATATTACTTCACCAGTGGGATAATATTGATATATGAAAGGTATTGTTAAAAAAAGAATAGCAAGTTAGATTATAAAAACCAATTTATGTTCTACTCAGTGTGAAGTTATTGCATATACCTTTAATGTTTCTACTCAGTGAAGTTATTGAATACACCTTAAATATAAAGAAAAATTTGAAATCTTTTTTATTAAATGAAAAATTATTTTAGATAAAAATAAAAATGTGATCGATATTACTTCACCCAGAAAGTTTAATAACTTGAAATACTTTATAATTAAAAGTGAAATCCATTTAACTTATTTGTTAACAAAAATGAATTAATTTCCAGTAATTAGCACACCATATCACAGCAACATTGTTGCTTTAAATATAGGTATATGAGTAGTACAGTTTCACACTGCAGTACATTAGATCTCACTACTATTAGTTGAAAAGCACCAATAAAATCATTAATTTTGAATTATACATGAATGGTTTACATCGGAAATTTTTAATGCATCATTTCATTTAATCAGAGATAATTTATATAATCAGAATAATAAAAAAATAAATAGAAATTTAATCCAAAAATTAAAATAGCAATAAAAAATTTTATCTTTTACTTGACTTACTTTTAGTGAATCAAAAATATCATTTATGAGAAACAAATGCTGACATGTTTTAATAGTCTTATTTCCATAACTGCACAATATTGATGACCATTTTGCAACCTATAAAATTTAACTACACAATAACATAATACATCAATACACACATGCGGACACACACATTAATAATGTTTTTTAATAAAAATTTTTTGTACTGTAACTTAAGTGAAAAACTTCTATTAAGTATTGGTTTATTTAGTGTTTTAATGTCAGGAAGTAATCTACTATTATTTATATTGTTCTCTCTTTATCTATAATTTCACTAATATTTATTTATTATTTGTACCATTATATTAACTTTTTATGATTTTATTACTAATTTTGATTATTTTTTTAATAGCACTTATAATTTTAAATTATAATGTTAAAAATGTTATCACGATAAAAGTTCTCAACAATAAAAAAGTAAACAAAATAGAAAAGTAAGTACAATAACAGAAAATAGTAATCAAGATAAATAATTTAAAAATAAATAAACAATAAACATTAATTGCATAAATCAATTTGGTAAAAAGTGAACTTGTTTTGAACCACTTTTTAGTAGTTTATCTAACAAGCCATTTTAATAGTTTATCTAACAAGTCATTTTAGTAGTTTATCTAACAAGTCATTTTAGTAGTATTCATCTTTGGAACCAGGAGAAAGCTTCAACGTTAGAAAAAATCTGAAAATTGCTAAAAAACACCAAAATGAAGTTAAACTTTAGTATTTTTCTATTCAACAAATTTTTATTTTAGTTTTCTGATTAGCTACTATTGTCTGCAATAAATACATCTATAAGTATAGATTTGAAATGAAAGCATTATTCATTTAAATTATATTTTATTATAGGCGATTAAATTGCTAATAACAAGTAGGACAGTAGGTTCAATCATAAATTTTTTTTTAATTCTTTAATAATCACTTTTTTTTTGTGCCACACACACACACACACACACACACACACACACACACACACACACACACACACACACACGCACACACATATATATATATACACACATAGATTTATCTATATGCAGTAGTGGTGTAGAGCACTCACTTCATAAGCAAGAAGTTTTGAGTTTGATCTCCACCAAGTCCTTAGTAGTACCACACTTGTTTGTCTGCACAGTGGCCTTGTTAGTCAAGGTTTTTTTTTCCGAGTTATGGAGTTTAGAGAGGGTTGTAACCAATTAAAGTCTCCTTGACTGTAGCGTGTATATATATATATATATATATATATATATATATATATATATATATATATATATATATATATATATATATATATATATATATATATATATACATATATATATATATAAAGAGAGAGAGAGTGAGAAAGAGTTATCAAGTGAAATGTAATATGGATCATGTTTCAGAGATATCAATTTCACCTGATAACTATGTTAAAAAAATTAATTATGAAAATTCTTGTTAGATAAAATTGGGTGTCTCCTTATTATCCAGCATAAGTATGCTAAAAATAGACAATAATATTAAAAGTTGTTAAAAATAGAAAATAATATTAAAAGTCGTTAAAAATAGACAATAATATTAAAAGTCGTCAGTTGGCTCAAAAATCCCTCATTTGACTATCTTGTAGAAAAGGTAAAAGTTTTATGATAAGATAATATAGTCAAATGTTATTTATTTGTCATATATGTGAGATCTTTAAATAAAAACCTATTCCTCAAAAGCAAATGTTATGGCATTGTTAAGGCAAATGTTATGGAATTGTTATGGCAAATGTTATTAAATGCATTATATCTGAAAATCTGCTTCACAATACTGTGGTAGTCTTCAGTTATGTTTCAAAAAGCATACCAATTCTGAAACACTTAATATGTACAAGTTCAGAATGTTTCAATGATGGTGCATCCAATATAAAAATAACCAAGTTAATGGGAGAATCAACTATATTTTTCTTTTAAATAACTTATAACTATTTTCATCCCTCACATGGGAAATTAGGCAAGTTGGAGGGGGCATTGGTTTCTAATAATGAATTGGAATTTACTAATGTTAAAAATTGACTACTTTAAAGCCTTATCACTTTTTTTCTAACTTCCAACAAGTGTCAATAACCCTTAACTGGTATAGAGTTGGGTCTTTCATAAAATACCTAAACAGGTATGGGGGATGGTGAGTTAACCAGTGACGAATCCAGGATTTTATGGTGTTTTAGCTTAAGTATGAAAAAGTTTCCTTAGTTTACAGATGTAATTTCAGTATATCAATTCTGTAGGTGACATTAAATTTATAAAGTAATAATAAAAATTTGCTTTTTTAATTAAAAAAACCTGTACAAAAACTGTAAAAATTATGGCCATATAAAGTTTAAACCCTCTCAATTGGAGAGGATTACAAAATTTATATGGTCATAATTTTTGAATGCTAAAAGATAATACTATGAAATTTAAAGTTTATTGATGAATTTAATTCTAATTGAGAATAGTACAAAAAATATTTTCTCAACTTATTGCCCCTTGTGTTTGGGGGGAGAGGGGAAGGAGAGGGATGAAGTTAAAGGACATTTTTGTTCCTAACCTCCAATCATCACTATTTTTTGCAAAGCATCATTATTTAACCTAAGTATAAACATACAAATGTTTGGAGTTTGCTCCATGTCTGGAAGTTAGCTTAAACACCGAAAAATCCTGGATCCATTACTGGAGTTAACAAAAACGTACAAATGCATATAAGAGGAGGAGGAGAGGGGGCTAAATGAGGGAAGAGGAAGTCAAAGACAGCAAGTATATATGCAGTTAGACTCTCTCATTTTTATCTCTCCTAAAACTTGATTTTTTCTTTTAAACAAAAGCATTCACTTTCATAACTTTAAAAAATCAACATAAGCTTTATAACATAGTTTTTAATGTTTCGAAAAATTTATGTGTTTGAGAAGGGGTGGGGTTTACAGGTTTAAAGTAAACAAGTGTGTACAAGGGGGTCCTAAATCAGTGGCTTCACTGCATCTATCTTCTAATGATGCCCTTTATCTTTTAGACAAGGTGCTAAAATGCATTGTAAACATAGTTGGACCTGCTCTTGCAACCAACCTTCAGCCATTATCACATCGTGGTAATGTTGCTTCTCTTTCTCTTTTCTACAAATACTATAATGGGCACTGCTCTGAAGAGCTAGTGCCTCTTGTGCCATCTACTAAAATTTATTCTTGTGTTACTCCTCATTCAATTAAGTCTCATTCTTTTTCTGTGACTGTCCCTAAGTGCTCCAAAAACTCTTATTCCTCTAGCTTTTTTCCTCGAACATCAGTTCTTTGGAATTCGCTTCCTTCATCTTGCTTTCCTGATTCATATAATTTGCAATCTTTTATGTTGTCTGTCAATGCTCTACAATCTTCATCTTTTCTTTTCCAGTAACTTCCAACTCTAATTAGTGGCCTTGTTGGAAGCAAAGATGTTTAAAAAATATATATATCTACTCTAGAGTCATTAATACAAGAAGGGATAGGGAGGGGGATAAAAAAAAAAAGGGTGATGGATATTTTAGTCCAGATCTAATAGAGGGGCTGTGTGTGCGTGTGTGGTTAATGGGGTTAAGGAGGAGTGGGCAAAAGATGGGGGGGGGTTAATAATAATTTTTCATGTTATAATATAAGTATTTTTTATAAAAAATTTCATTTTATAAATCTTAACTAATATTTTTTTACAAAACACGCATAAAACTATTTAATTTTAGAGTGGCTTGCGGTCAAATGTGCATTTTCTGACAGCTGTTTTATCATAATTTCAATAGGATTTAATATGCTGACATAAGTTTTATACTTTGATGAGAAATAAACCAAAAGCTCATTTTCGACAAATCAAGATTTACCCAGTCAACGATTTTTAAAGTCTATTACACTGAAAGTTTTTGCTTTTATTGGTGACTGAAATAAGCATTTTCTGATTTTTAAGACTAATTTTCCCTGAATTTTTTTTTAGTTTTGCGATTTCAAGTATTTGATGATAACAAGTTAATAAATAACAATTAATAAACAGTAAGGGGGTCTTAATAAGCTTAGTGTGGGTGGGAAAATATTCCTAAAATGATTAAAAGACCCCCCTCCTATTAAAAAATATATTCCTCTCCATTTTAAAATAACTAATTCTATCCAACATCCATGCATTATTTAACAAATCAAAAAATTTAATTAGAAAAAAAATGAATTGATGATACAAAGTGTGTGCTACGAATTTCAAGAATACAAATTTGATTAATGAATGTATATTAGTCAATAAAACAATTTTACAATTAAAATAAAAATTAAAAAATCCAAACTTAGTTAAAGATTTAAAACCCAAAACATTTTAATGTACATGCACTAAAACAAAACATTTTAATGTACATGCACTAAAACAAAGCATTTTAATGTACATCACTGTTAAAAGAATCATTCTTTTTCATTCACAATATTCATTAATAAATTATTTAATATTTAAAAATCAATTCATTAGGAGAGCTGCTAAAGTTATGGAAATCAGAAAACATTAGATTACTTTTAAAAAAAGAAACAGGAAAGACTGGTTCAATAACCTCTCATCAACATCAATATGAAGTAAGATATTAGAGAAAATAATTAGAAAAAAGTTGATTATTTATCTAATAAAAACAATCAACAATTCAACAACTTGGTTTTGTACAAAACAAATAGTGAATAACAAATCTATTACAAACTTTAAATATCATTACAGCTGAAATTGAAAATGGTTATTCAATTGATATGGTGTACCTAAATTTTGCTAAGGCATTTGATAAGTTACTACATCATCGACTTAAATACAGGATTTCTACAGTGGTGTGCTAGCATCAAAAAGTCTATGGCGAATTTTTCTAAAAAGGTCTATTTTTACAGGATTTTAGCATATATGCTTGATTTGAAGACCCATAAATATACATACAATTTTATAAAGAAATTAAACTAAGTACCATTGCATTGCATTATAAAAAGTTTATATCAGCATTGATATTATTGCTTAAAAATGTAATGATAGATTTAAACAAGGTGAAATGTTCAAAAGATTGCAGAAAAATTAATGGATAGTTTTTAAGTAGAAAAATCAATAGCTAATTTTTATTGTCTGAAGGATAATTGTTAAAACAATATTTTGTGTTAAAAAATACTTATATAATGTTAACTGAACATTCAGGAATTATAAAAACTTTATTTTCCTAACTAAAATATACAGAGTTTTACTTAAAATGAAAATTTGCCTGATAAATTGTTAATCTAGAAATTCTTATAGTGTTTCACTTTATTTAATTAATTGTATTTGCATCATGCTGGATTTTTGACTATGGAATATAAATAGAAAATATTCTGAGATTTTTTTTAAAAAACAGAAAACAAAGAATGATAATAGGTGAAGATGTATCAGATTGGTATGAGATTTATAGTGGTGTTTGGTATTAGGTCCTCTTCACTTTCTGTTAAATAATAATCTTCCCATATGCAGATGATACTATAATTATAACTGTTATGAAAGAATATTTTGCAAATTAATTTTAAATTAATTTACAAAACAACATCAATTTATTAATTGAATAGCCAAATAAAAGATTAATGGATTTGAACATAAGTAAATGCAGCATTATTCATATCGAAAGAAAAAATATTAACTACAACTACACTATTAAAAATTCAAAATTTTCCTCTAAAAAAACACAACAAAAGAACAAGACACTTGTAATTAGGTCATTTAATATGAAATGGAATCCACTAGTAGCTACATGTAAAGCATAAAATATTTTATGCATGATCAGTAAAAAGCTTCACATATATTAACAGTTAACAGCTTCCTGGTAAAAGTAGTAAACCACATAGTAATATGCTTTACTACTACTGGTATTACAAAAAAAAAATCATATGGGGGGGGGGAGGGGTGACACCTCCTGCAGCAACAGCATTAGTAGTAGTAGTAGTAGTAGTAATAGTAGTAGTAGTAATAGTAGCAGCAGCAGTAGTAGTAGTAGTAATAGTAGCAGCAGCAGTAGTAGTAGTAGTAGTAGTAGTAGTAGTAGTAGTAGTTAGTAGTCGTAGTAACAGCAGTAAAACATATTAAATACAAAAATTAAAAATAAGTAGAAAAATAACATACAGATTGCTCTGATATCTCAATCTTCTCTTCAAGAAGGTTTCTGATGAAAAAAAATTACATATAAATATTTTCCAACAAAATCTTCTAATAAGTTTTTTGAAAAAAAAGTTTTAAAAATGAACGGAATAAAAGTCACTTGAATGGATGTTCAGTTGATGTTTTTTGTACTGCATTAACCACAGTCATTCCAATTCGATAAAGAAATGCAACAATTAACAGTGACAGTCCAAATACAGAAACCACTTGAATGACAGGGTAATAGTATAACGACAAAAGCAAAAATAAAACACCAGCAAATGTAAGCATACTTCTCTGTATATCACACCAGTAAATTAATCTAATAACTGAAAAAAAAAAAAAACTTTAGAAAAATGTAAAACTATCATAATAACTTATCATCAAGAGTTTTCAGAAATATGAACTATTTTGAGAAATAACCTATAAATATATCCTAGATATAAGTACATACATACATATATCCTAGATATATGTACATACATACATATATCCAAGACTTATGTATATATGTACATATATCCAAGATTTATGCACATACATCCAATATATATGTACATATGTACATTTATCCAAGTATATATGCATATATATCCAAGCTATATATATATATATATATATATATATATATATATATATATATATATATATATATATATATATATATATATATATATATATATGCACATATAGAGATATCTAAAATATCTGCATATCTGCATATAAATACACCCAAGATATGTAAATACACAAATAAAACATAAAAGATTATTATACTTTAAAATAAAAGATTTTTACATTTTAAAAGAAGAGATAAATATATTTTAAAATAAAAGATAACTATATTTTAAAATTAATAATTAAAATTTTAAATTAATTCTTTTACTACTACAATTTACAGAGATGGCAAAAAAAAAAAATCAATAATTTATTTGTGATATTTGAACAGTTGTGAACTTCCAAATAAAACTTGGTCATGCTAAAATTTTTTCTCAAATTCTTTTATCTTATTTTATTCTTTTATTTTTAGTTTTCTTAAAAATATATTAATTTAATCGTTTATTTTGTTTCACCAACACTGGATTAAATCCAGACATTTCACTGGATTAAATCTTCTTCCAAACATTTGTATTAGTCTAACATGTTTTTTAATATCTTTGATTCAGTAAAAATATAACAAGAAACAAAAGGTTTTCGAAGTCTCAATATTATTTTGGCTTGATAGGCCATTGTATTATGATAAAAAACATATTTAATGTTCCTAGTGGTAGCATTACAACTAAAAAAATTCTTATTTCTTATTCACAAAACAGGTTAATGCCAGTAAAGGCAAGCATTTGTAAAAAAACGCTTCAACTTTTCAATGATATATTTGAATAAGAATTTAGTGAAGTATTTAAACTTTAAGTGAGCAAAATATATACAGTGTCAATCTAAATTTGCAGGAATAAATTGCTTTGGAAATTTAAAAAAAATCTGCTTTTTTTTTTTTTTAATAAAACAAAAAAGCTTTCTTGAAAAAACTCAAGGTCTAAGTCTTTATAAGTAAGCTGGGCCAGAATCAAATAATAGTTTTCATAAAGTCAAACAACATATTTTTGCATAATTGTTCTATTTGTGAATTTTAAATTTTTAAGGAATTTGTAAAACCTAAAATTTCAAAAAATTTAATTGTAACTAGTAAAGTGAAATGAAAAAGTTTTTTATAAAAACAATTAACCTAAATAATAGGAATTAAAATAAAATTATTTTAAATTACTTTTTCTACTACTACAATTTACAGAGATAGCAAAATAAAATAATCAAAGCAATAATTTATTTGTGATATTTCAAGCCTATGATTGATGTTGTGATATTTTAAGTCTATTACATTGTTTTATTATCAGCAAAAAAAATTATGTACTTACTTGAAGCATTCATATTTTCATTTATCCATAAACCAAGAGGACTCTTTAAACATAATTCTAAATTAAATAATAATGATAACTAACCATTAAAAAATACATCACTTATTTGTTACAATGTTTTTACACTTTTACTTTTATCTGTTTAAAGAATTCTTAGGTTCGTTTATGTTTGCCTATTAGATTTATAAGTGTCTATTAGATTTGTTAGTATCTGTCTATTAGATTTGTTAATGTTATTCAATTAGATTCATCAGTGTCTATCTAAGCAAATATAAAATTTAAATTTAAGTTATTATTATAGCTATACAAATCTGCTAAATAACATTTATATAGTTAAGATTGAATAGATAAATGAAGTGATGTTGTAACAGCTGTATAAACGACATAAAGCTTAGAAGTTTTAGCTTGACCACATCTTGCTAGTACCGCGCTCAACTTTTTTCTCTGCAAAGTTTTTCAAGACTCATATTTCAGAGATATAGATTTGAAAGAGTGCTTTATTGGTGTAGTGAATTCCCTTTTAAAAGAATTCGGATGGATGCCAAATCTATCACACACAGATCTCTTTTATTTTTTGCTTTTCTCACATTGACATCAAAAAGAAAAGCTAGAGTAAAAGAGAGCTTTCTTTGTGTCAAAAACATAGAGAAAGAGAGTAGGTTTTACTAATTTTATTTGTGAAGTACTGATAAAAGTAAAACTTGACTTGCTGAAATGCTGTGGTCAAGGTTACGATAATGGCTAAAAAACTGGAATTTACATTATTTTTATTTGTTCTTTCATCAACCCTCAATATTCCTTGCCAAAATTTTGCTGAAGAACGTGCAGTTGTACAATGAGATCAAGAATTTTTTTGGATTTTGGATCAATGTATAAACTTCTGTATAGTTAATGTTTGAAGTTAAAAAACCTTCTGAAGTAGGCCTTCTATAAATGTACAAATAAGCTAATACTAAATATTAAAGATATATATGTTTTGAACAATCAAAGAAAACTAGGTTTTGTTAATCTCTCATTAAGAATCTGTTTTAAAAAGTATTTTATTTCAATATATTCATTTCAATATGATGAGGCAAAAATTATAATCTACACTTAAATCCTAAAACAAATACAAAATATACCTTTATGTTTTGGTTTTTCAGTTTCTAAAGCGTTTTCATAAGATTTAGTTTTATCTAGGAATTCGTGTTGAGTTTCATGATCTTTGCTTTTTATTAATGTTTCAGTGCAAGGAGCTTTTGGAAGATGATCTATTAAAGAATCAGACAGAGACTCTTGACCATTGCTTGTACTTGAAACATCGTCAGAACTAATTTCAGATTGTTCTTTTGGACTTATTGGTGTTGTCATCATATCATCTTGTATAATATCAGATTGTAGTTCACTAGTTTCTTTATCTACAGAACTATTATTTGGTGTTGGAGAAATAAAGTTATCTTGAATATCACCCATAATATTTTTTTTAAAACGTTTTGTATTTAAAATAAAATACTTTGCAAAGGTTTTTAAAATAATTAGCAAAACTTATGCGCCGATTCTTTTAAAAGCCCGGGTTCAAAGTACAATTATATTAAAAAAGCTGAATTATCAAAGGCGAATAAATTAATTCGTTTCCAAACTCAGCTTAAATTTTTCATGATTTGGATGATCGATAACAAAATCTTCATTGGGCATGCGAGATTTGTCAAAAAAAAATTTTAATTTAAAGAATTTGTAATGATTATTTATCCAAAAAGCTTGTTAGTTTTTTGCTAAAAATTAAAAGTTATTCCTTATATCTGATTATATATTCCTAGACTTGTCAAAAGCATTTGACACCGTTAACTATTAGATTTTATTAGAAAAACCAAAATATTATGGAATATGCCACGAATACCATAAATGGTTTACCAGTTACTTAACTGATCGAAAGCAGTTTATTTCTCTAAATGATGGCTTTCAGACAAACAAACTTAAAATATCATTTAGGGTTCCACAAGGCTCCATCTAAGGTCTGCTGCTGATCTATCTCAACGATCTATATAAAGCATCAAATGCTATGTCTACTATTATGTTTGCAGACTACACTTTATTCCATTCTCATATTATCTCTCTATTTCAAGTATTATAATTTTTTAATAATATATTATTTTTAATGTAATGCAAGAAAAATATACATTTTGTTGTTGTCAAGTTACATCAAAAAGTTCTTTTCTACGACTTCATGATTTTTATTTGTTGTTGTTGTTGTCGTTGTTTTTGCTGTTGCTGTTGTTGTTTTGCTATTGCTTTTTGAAATAGAGACAAAATCGAGGTGGTAAAATGCCCTCAAGCATGTCAAAAGCGCATGCGGTCTTTTTAAATGAGAACTAAAATTTATTTAATATATGTATAATACTATTATAGAAACAATAATATATTATTTGAAGGTTTAAATTTATATTAACTTGGAGAATAAGTTCATTCGGTTTTTTTCAAAGAGTTTTCTTCAAGCAAAAAACATTAATTATAACACTAAATTAATCAATTATGTATTCGCTGTTACTGTTTACAACCTCCTCCCACCTTTTGCCTAATTTTTTGATCCCGTTCCGACAAAAATCACCTGGTCTGGTGTTGAATAAATTGCTGAGCCAGTTTTTAAGGTCCTTTTTGCCATTGAAGTTTACATCCCTCATTTGATTTGACAAGGAGCGGAAAAGGTGATAATCTGTCGGCGCAAGGTCCGAAGAGTACGGTGGAGTATGTTAAAGAACCATCCATTCGAGGTCTTGGAGTGCGGTTTTGACGATTTGTGCAACATGGGGTCTGGCGTTGTCGTGGAGCAAGATGACTTGGCTTTGTCGCTCAGGTCTTTTCAGTCGCATAGCCTCATTTACCCGGCATAGTTGGGCAATGTTGATTGTTGATTGTTACGTTCCTTTTAAGCATTTCCCAATGTATCATGCTTTCTCAGTCCCACCAAACGCAGATCATGGTCTTTTTTGGGTGGAAATCTTGCTTGACTCTTGGCGTCGGCGAGTCTCCTTAGGCCACCCACTCCTTCCTTTGATTCATATTGATGTACAGGCACCATTTTTCATCTCCCGTGGCAATTCGGTACAAAAAGCTCTGTTTATGGCCGCGTGTTGCTTGGTAGCGTTCAAGATGTTGAGCAGCGATTTGAAGACGATTTTTTTTTGTTGACTTCATTAAACTTGTAAGTCACCCAGGGTCCGATTTTTTCTGCAAATCCCATTGAGTGAAGATGATTGAGGATTGTCTTTTGATTGGAGTTCATTTTTTTAAAAGGGCCCTGAGATGATCCTCATCGAATTTTGTGGGTCGTCCGGTGCGAGATATGTCTTCGAGGTCAAAGTTGCTCTTTTTGAACTTCGCAAACCATTCTGTGCTGCGCGCTCCATTCGTCCGGTGCTGCGCGCTCCGGTCGTCCGGCACGGCAGTTTCGTAATGGAACATTATTCTGGGCATGCGCATTGACAAATATTTATTTGATTAACTATTCAATAAAGATGCGTAACGCAAAAAAAACTTTTGAAAACACTTTTTTTAATAACCTAATTTTATATACTTTTTGATAAAAATGAGTAATTAAATTTTTCTATTTTAATAAGTATTAAGTTATGCTAGTTTTTATGAAAAAAATATATATAAAAAAAACATTTATCCAACTTTTATAATTTCTAGAACTTTGCAGTTTCTTTAGTTATAAATATTAAGGAAGTCAGTAATTCTTAATAAATAAGTACTTAAATGAATTTTTTGAGAAAAGCTGAAATGTTTAAGAGAAAGAGTTAAGGTATTTAAAGATTCTGTCAAATTTTGAAGAACCGATTACTTTTTTTTGTAGATTTTTTGAACTTTTTTTGTAAAATAAAAATATACGTTTTCCGCCTAAAACTTCTGTAAGTAACTATGGTTACTTTCCAAGATGTCAAAGAAAACGTAAGGAATAACACATATATCTAATCTAATGAAATAAAATATTCGTTTTTGTCTAGTAACCAAAAGATTAACTATTTATTTTATTAAATATTTATTATATTCGGAAGTAGAGTATATATATTTTTTCTTACAATAAACATTAAAATTAAGTCGTTATGCAGTTACAATCATATATACAAATATTTAATAGATATCACGAGGCTTTTCTTTTATAAGATTTTCTTTCTTGAATAGTAGGTCTAATTTCCAATGCTTCTAGGGAGTTTTTGATGTAGTGATTAGACAGAATACTTTCTAGTCTTTGCTTCCCTTTCATATGGCAAAAGGTGCTGTTCATACTATTGAATTCAGCATGCATGCTTTCTAAACCTTGCTCTCCATAAATATCGAGACCCAAACCCCAATTTCTAATAAAATCAGCACAATGACTTTCTAATAAATGCATTTTTGGCGTAATGGACTCATTCGGCCAAGTAATACGAAAGTAACTCATTAATTCTCCAACGACTCCTTCTAAATCCAAAATAAATAAATAAATAAATAAGAAAACGTAAATAGAAAACAAAGAAAGAATAATTATGCAAGCAAGAGGAATTTTAATACAAGTAACATAATAAAAATATATTTTTACCTAACTCTAATAATGGATTATTATTAATTATTTTACTTGAATTCATAAAGTTGTAACATGTTGCGTATTTAGAGAACAACTCAACAAATTTCTCACTCAAGACTTTTGCCTCTATAAAAACATCTGTATCAATAAATCCAAGATCGCTTACTATCTTAGGTATCGAATTGCAAAGATCTAGGACACTGTTTAACTAATAGATAAAAGATAATTTTATGATTTACAAAATTAGTACCTCTATGCATTACAAAACTATGTGATTGAGAAAATATTTATAAAATTCATATTTACAAGTATGCAAAAATATGTATAGAAATACCTTTAACATTTTATGAACATGATTCCCAATAAAACATTTTCCGTGGTAAGCTTGTCTTTGAACATTAAGCCCACATAGAGCTTCATCAAGTTTTTTCACTAGTGGTCCATGCGATTTTTTAAATGTTTTAGTTTTTAACTTTTCTAATTACATAAACACACACACACACATAAGCATTTGCTCTTAGATTGATTTATGTTTCATTCACATAGAATTATAAAAAAATTTTATTTCATTATTTCAAATATAAACTTATTATACCTTAGCATTTTTCTTCTTCATAAAATGAACTACTCTGGGCTGAAAGATTTCATATAGATATTCTTTATTTTTAAAAGAACGTAGAACTTGTATTGACATTGCTTCATGAATAAGTATTATTTTTTCACAATATTCAGCAATAGCTTTTTCTTGTTCATATATTCTTAACTGAATTACAATATGTTCATCAAAACTCTTGTTTGTTTACAGTCTGATTTTTTAAACACATTTTAGCTGCAATTTTTATATCTATGAGATGACAGCCATCTTCCAGCATATTAAAAAATTTAAGATAAATCCCCAATGAGATATGCAACAATGGAATGCCAACCTAGATTCATAAAATCAATATAAAAAAATATTTACAATTATATAAACAAGTAAAAATATAATATAATAGAAAAGTGTAATACTTGTGTTAAAGGAATATTGAAAAGTGGAGAATCAATGACATTGTTACAATACTTTGCTAACTTTGGTATTCAACCTTTTTGAATGAATTTTTGGAAATCTGTATCAAGTGTTTCCAGCGTGCGATTGGAACAAGGACTGTGTTTTTTTTGAGTATCTGACTTTTTCATACCTGCACGAGTTATATGACAAAACAAGCAAGCATGTCGACCTAATATGATATCAGTTTAAATATAGGATATCAAAAGTCATAAAATGTCACTAAATAATATAAACATCAACTTCAATAATTTTATATTGTGGTTATGTGGTTTTGTTTGTTGCACAATTTTATTATTTGAATTTATACCATTTGCACTAGTAATTCCATATGCTGAACATAAAAACTCGTAATCACCAAAGATAAATACTCTTATTTTTTTCTCACTAAAAATAATTTTTTTCAAAATAGAGTTAAATCTATTAATCTAAATACATTTTTAAAATTATGATAAAATAAAACCTACTTCCAACACAATGACTGCAATTGATTAATTTGTTGTGTAAACATTGAGAGACCCACAATAAGGTTTGGTTTGTATTCTTTTGCTTCAAAAATACTAAAAATATTTGTGTTTCTTCTGGAATTCGGTTTATCAACATTCACAATTTGATAACACATCTTAAAAGATCCACCGCCATAGTCACCACCAATTTTGATGTGAATTTCATCATTTTTTATATTGGAATGCTTTAGCAAATTTTTGCTGCTCAATTTTAAATAAATTTAATTTTTTTTTAGAGAAAGTAAATAAAATATTAATAAAAAATATATAAAATGACAACATTTAAATGCACACTTATTTAAATAAAATACTATGTATACCTTTTCAGAAGGTTGAGTTTGTTTATTATATGTGATGGAAGATCTTTAATGTATCCCTAAGGAGCATTTTTTACTTCAAGTGAATCACTGGAGTCTTTCAAAAGAAAGTTAAAAGGAGCATTACAAACTACCCAATCCTCTCCAGACCAGGATTTAGCTACTTTTCGTTGCTTTTTATTTGATGCACATTCTATATCTTTGGTTTTGAGCCATCTAAATAAAATTTTAAATATATATATATTTTTTATTAAATCACACTTTCATTTTAGCTTGATTAAGGTTCGAATATATACATACATATATATATATATATATATATATATATATATATATATATATATATATATATATATATATATATATATATATATATATATATATATATATATATATATATATAATTTACCTTGCAAGTATCTTCATGTTTGAATATGTTATTCCCATATGAGCTTTCATACTAATCATTTCCTCAGCACTTATAACTGATAAAGGTATGTCTGACATCTTCCATATTTTTACTTGATCTTTTACTTCAAATGAATTCAAAATAGCAGAAGTTTGCTGAAGTTGACATACCAGAGATCACATTTAAAGAATTTATAACGGCTTTTTGTCTTTTCTTAATTGTCCTTTTACTAACATCTGAGCTCTCTTTATATGCTATTGAGTTGGAAGTAAAATGTAAAGGCTAGAAAAAAGTTTTAATAATTATAACAAAACATAATATAGTTCATTTTCTTTTGCTACATATTAAAAATGTGCTTACCCTTGGTCCTCCGGAAGGAAATGCAAACAAATTTGATTCAGAGGTAACTAGCTTTTGCTTTATAAGTATAGCATCATTTTCTTTTAATAAAAATACATCAGCTAGAGTTGTATCAAGTCCATCATGAATGATGGACTTGATACAACTCTTTGATACTTTTTGGAAAGAAGAGTTTGATACTTTTTGGAAAGAAGAGAAGCTAATCTTTACTTTTTTAAAACTTTTATGTATGGTTACTAGACTTTTTAAAAGATTATTTTGCTCCTGAATATTTGGTTGATGTTTTCACATGAATTTGCAGTCGAAGGCATGTCGTGTCCGCTTTTTTTGTTATTCAGGCAATTTTTTACATGCATTTTCTATTCATGTGCCAAATTTTAACGAAAAATAATTGGGAGCAGATATGTTACAAGGTGCTTTATTAAATATACTGCTTTTTTTAGGTAGGGTTAGACAAACGTTTTTTGTGGTGTTTCTTTTTAGAAACATATATAATTAAAAGTTATATTTGGAAAGAAGAAAGGTTAGGCTTGATTTTTATAGTACTTTCATGTATAATCACTAAACTTTTTTATGGTTAGTTTTACTGAAAACTTTCAAGAAAATTTCGTTGATGTTCTCACATTATTTTGTTGTCGAAGGAATGTCGTGTCCGCTTTTTTTGTTATTCAGGCAATTTTTTACATGCATTTTCTTTGCACATGCCAAATTTCAGCAAAAAATAATTGGGAGCAGATAGTTTAAGAAGTGTACCTAAATTCGGTTTTTTTTGTTTTTGTTTTATCAGTAAGAGAAATATGGGGGAGGATAGGGGGTAAGCAGATTGTAAACAAAAAATTACTACTACATTGTATTATTTTAATTCTTAATATTAGATCAAAATTTAAATAAAAATGGTTAAGTTATGGAAAAGAAAACTTTAAAAAGTAAGTTAATATGTTTTTCATGATAATAATAACTTTTTTAAAAAACAAAACAATGATAAATTTAAAAACCTTAATCTTTGTTTACATGGTAACAAAGATTAAGGTTTTTTAAACTATATATACCAATGATGGTAATATATATCAATGATGGTATATTAAAAAAGATTAGGATTTAAGATTAAACTGTTACTTTGGAATATTTTATTAATTATTAGTATCAGATACCAATGTTGTTAATACGCCATATATATAAAAATATACAAACAACATTATTATACTTTAAAGTAAAACATTATTGGCTTAAGCCAATAACGTTTTTGACAAAATATTTTTATAATAATAAGCTTATTTTTGTAAAAATATCAAGATACTTTTACAATAATAAGTTTATTCTTATTTCTTGTTAGTGTCTTTCTAATATACAGTAATATAATTTTAAAATACAGTAATATTATTTGTTTTTAATTTTTTTTTTCATACCTTTTTCTTGTTAGTAAAGTTGTTATACGTAAAGCAGAACTGATTTAATAACTGTTATTTTTATTGACTGTTGACAATTTCAAGATCTTTTTTTTTTGATTATACAATTTTTTTGTTATCTTTATTCCAATATGCACAGACTACAGCTGGTAAGTTATTATAGCATAACTTTTATTAACCATTAAAGAAATATAAATAAATATATGTATTTCCTACTTATTTAATTATTACTTGTTGTGTATGGATTTCCCATTTGCTGCAATTTTTTAATTTTAGTATCTACCTTTTGTGTCACATGTAAGTTAAACAACTTTTTAATGTTAAAACTTTACAATATGTTTAACTTTAGTTCCTTAGTCATGTGCTGCAACTAGTAATTTAAAAAACTATTACATTTTATGTGTATGCATCTCTCGTTATTTAAATTATTGATTTTTTGTTACAACATTGTAATTTTAGTATCTGCCTCTTGTGCTACACCTGGTAAGTTAAACAACTCTTTTTAATGTGCACAAATTTCTCATTGATTGCAATATTGATTTTTATGATATATTTTTTACCTTTAGTTCTTTATACGTGTGGCTACGCCTGGTAAGTTTCAAAACCTTTTTTCTTTTAACATGTGTATGCATTTCTTATCAATTGCATATTCTTTTTTGCAATTGCATTTCTTATCAACTGGTTTTTAATTAAAACCTTTTTTATATAAAAATTATTACTTTTTAGACTATGAATGCATTTATTACCATTTGCAATTTGTATTTTTTATTAAAGCAAATTTTACTTTTAGTTCCATCTGTACCACCTTTAAACGGTAAATTTATAAATCTAGAATGTCTCTGATTTTTTGCTGAGTTCCTCTTATTCCTATTTATATTATCTATTTAATACTTTTGTGTTTTGTTATCTCTCCAAGTGCTATAAAAAGAGAATCAGAAGCTTATACTTGTTTGAGTTTTTATTCTAATTAACTTTTATTAAAAATTTCATTCATTCATTAATCATTCTTTATATTTATTCAGACAAACTGTCTTAGTAAGTATTTATTTTAATTTTTTTAATTACATGAATTACAAATACATTAATATTTTATTTGTTTATAGAGCTTACATATGAAGCTTATAGGTCATTTCGATCTTAAAATTAAAATCATTTACTAAAAGCCAAGACATAGAGTAATTACTATGTTTTAAAACATTTTTACTATTATTTTTTTTTATTAGGTTGGTGGGTTAAATATGATCATTTAAATGAGAAAATGTATACTAGTGCAACTTGTAATCTGGTAAAACAATTATGTATTGTGCTTTCTCTTTTGGGGAGGGGGGAGGGGTGCATCATACTTCCTTTATTTCAAGTCAATGTGTGCATCAATAATATATGTTGAATAGTAATAAAAGATTTTTTTTAATTTTTAACAATGCATTTAATTATTGTAATAAAGAAAAAATTATTTTTATTTTTTATGACTGGGGGAGGGGGGGCGGTGCGACATACACCCTCCCCTAAAGTTAGTGTTGTATATCACTAATCTATGTTTTATAGTAAAAAAAAATATTTTTACTTTTTAACAAAATATTTAATTACTGTAAAAAAGATTAAATTATTTATTAGAAAGTATGATTATTGTATTTAGGGTGTTATAACATCACAAGCACATCTATGGTCAACTCTAAGATCACCTTATTTTGTTTAGCAGTGTTTTGGAATCAAGTTATGGCAATATTTTGTGTATAAAATATAACAATTACATTTAAAAAGTGCTTATTTCTGACAAAAACTTGTATTTTCTTAAGGGTTAGATGGTGTTTCATTACCCCCTCTGGCTCCCAAGATACACCCTACATCCAGGCACCAAAATGAACTTGTAGCCCATTAGTGCACCTATCTTGTGATACCAAGATATAGGTATTTGGATAAAAATTGACAAAGTTATAACAATTTAAGTGGAAAAAATAATCATTTTGACCACAGTTTCTTCAACAATTCCATATATCTAAAATTTGTTACTAAAAACGTTATAACTTTTTTTAGAATTGTTCGTTTTTAATAATTTTTCCACCTTTAAAATACTGTATTAAAGGCCTTTCTAATGTTGTATAACATTCTACTATATGATCAATATAAAAATTTCAGTGCACGTACCTATTATTAATGATTGGCCTGGTCCATCTCTTCTGATTTTGTTCTATTATACATGGCCGACCAGCTTTACATTTTTTAACTTTCCTTCCAGAAACTTTGGAGAAACAGGAACATTTGTCTGGACATGGTGATGGCTATTTTACTACTTTAAGACTTGTGCTAGAACCTTTTTCAATGTTTCTCATAATGATATAGCACCTCCTACACATTTTTTGTGGGTGAATATTTTTATTGTCTATGGTGGTGTTTATATATAATATTTAATTAATACTTTTTTTTTTTTTTTTCGCTAATTTTTTATTTATTTTACATAACTGCTATATTTAGATATTTTGTAAACGTGGACCATTTAACCAAGTCTTGGTTAAATGGTCCATGTTTACAAAATATCTAAATATAGCAGTTATGTAAAATAAATAAAAAATTAGCGAAAAAAAAAAAAAAAATCGGTCTCCAAAAATAAGTTTAAAGGAAGAACAATAAACTGATGAAAACAAAAATATTTACTTTCAGATACAGAAAATTCGTTTCATTATAACATAGCTGATTACAAAATAAAAAATTTTAAGAACAATATTTTAAAATAAAAAATGCAAAAACCTTATAAATGCATTGATTATTAAAAACCGAGTAAATCTGATGATATATGTTCAGATTATTTCATGGAGAGTGACATAAATATATATATATATATATATATATATATATATATATATATATATATATATATATATATATATATATATATATATATATATATATATATATATATATATATATATATATATAAATTATGTATTCTTGAAGGTGGCCAGCCACTTTCAAGAATTAAATTCCCTGACTTTTTATATTTTTCCCTGACTCAGTTATCTTTTGAAGTGTGAATTTTTAAGTTTTGTTGTTTTGGAGTAAGTAAAAAAAAACCTTAAAAAAAATTTAAATTTTCAAAAAAGACATTTTTCCCTGATTTTCCTGACTAGAAAAAAATTCCCTGACTTTTCCATGATTTCCAGTTAGCTGGCCACCCTGGTATAATATTATTATAATAGCATGCAAGTGTATATTAGTATGCACCTTTTGATTCTTAATTGCCCTCTGCAAAATGCCTGAGGCTTGTAACATATTTGCAAGGTAAACAGCTTACAAGTTTGCTGTATGAATCATTAGTTAGTTCATAGAAAGCAATACAAATTTTATTATTTCTTTATAGCGATATTTCTCTTCGTCGTTAATGTTTTGCGTGTTTTTGATTCCCTTTTATAATTTTTACACCTTTAAACATTTTAAATATAATAATATCATTGAAATATGTGACTTGGTCGAACAAATTTTATTATTTCTTTATAGCGATATTTCTCTTCGTCGTTAATGTTTTGCGTGTTTTTGATTCCCTTTTATAATTTTTACACCTTTAAACATTTTAAATATAATAATATCATTGAAATATGTGACTTGGTCGAGTAATATATAAACGAAGTAAAAAGGTACATCTTCAAGCGCAATCACTGTATTTTCGGTATTCTGGGGCTTTCCAATATGGCGGCCGTACAAAATATTGGCTTCACTTTTGATATTAGAGATGCGCTATCCAGTTATTATAGAGATCAGTGGTTGCAGTAGCTGAGCTTCAGAAAGAAATAATTAAAAAACCATTGATTTTCTCATATTTTATAAGTGTTGACTGCGCATGCTCAGAATAAAGTTCCAATAAGTATCAATTTGCCGGTGCGAGATATGTCTTCGAGGTCAAAGTTGCTCTTTTTGTCCTTCGCAAACCATTCTGTGCTGCGCGCTCACCTATGACACCTTCTTCATACACGTTGCATATGTCACGAGGGGCCTCAGCTACTTTTTGACGGCGATAAAAAGCGAAGAAATGTAGTTGTCAAAAATGCTGATTTTCGCCACCTAGGTATTCCATTTCTACGAGTGTAAAAAAGAAAAAACTATAAACATTCGAAAAAAAAAATAACACAGTTCTGTAGAGCAGAAAAGGCACTGTCGAATGAAAACAAACACTTCGCTCAACAACAAACAAATCCTTTAATCCTCTTTAAATCCTCTTTGAAAAAACTAAACGAATTTATTCCTCAACCCAATAATTTAAACCTTCAATTAATAGATTATTAATATTAATATATGATTGGAATTTGTTATATGAGTTTGTATAAATCCGCACACTTAAAACTTAAATTTTACTCTGTAAATAAGATATGCATTATTGTTTAGATTTTATATATTGTTTTGCTTAGTCACTAAGCCTTAGTGTGAGAACGATGGATGTAGTTTTGGAAATGTCACTGAAGTTAAAACTAAACTTCAGTTTAGCGGTATATACGAATACTACACCGGACCACAACGGCAAAAAAGGACTACTTTTGACCACAACGGACCACATCGGACTGCAATGAACCACAATGGATCACACTGAATTATAAAAAATTATTTTTGTATATTTCGCAAAGGTCATATGTGCAATAAATAGTCATGCGTGCAAATGGCTAAAAAGATAGTAGTAATAATACAATTTAATAAAATAATTTAAATAATAATGATTTTTCTCAAAAATGTAAATTTAATTCTTTTAAACGGAATATAAAAAAACTAAAAGAGTATAAACCACAAACTAATATAACCATAACTTGAAATATAAACCACAAAACCACTATAACCATAACTGTGGGAGTCAGTAACTATTTTTACTTTAAGTAGTTTATTATGTTAAGAAAGATATTATATTTTGAAACAAAAAATAAATTTTAAGTTAATTGGTCTAGCAAGTAACATCACCATTAACATATTGGGACGCTTAATTAATAAGTTACCCACATACGTTTTTAACAACGTGGTTTTTATCACTTTAAGCCAAACTATTATTACTGCGTAAATACTTTTACGTTAAGCTTAGAGATTCATGAAATACAATGAAAGTTGGCTTCAAACTGAATACAAGCTTTCAATAGAACCTAAATGTGATCATCAGTCGCTGAGTTCTGAAAAAACGAAATGAGGAGGATCAACTATGCCCATTTTGGAGATTTCTGGCAGATCCAAACGCCGAGTTATTGCTAATCTTGTATCTAATAACAAACTCTGAAATCTGAAACGTACCTAAGAATTGCTGCAGCCGTCGCTGCACAATATGATAAAAAAGACTTAAAAATTATTCAAAATCAAAATTTGGCAGCTGCATTGAATAAGATTATCTCTGAAGTTGTGAAAATTTCATTGGAACAAACATTATCGTTTCTTTTTGATACGAATTTGTTCAAAGATCAGTATAATCGAATAAGATTTGCAGCTAAAACTCAAGTTGGTGATATTTTCACTCCTTATAAGTTGGTGTTAGCTAAAAATTCTCGATGTTGTCCAAGTGAAATATTGCAAACAGAAAATTGCATCGAAATAAAACAGATGTATCTATTAAGACATACTCTGGAAAGAATTAATAAATTACAGCATAAATTTATTGAAAAAGATATTGCAAAAATTAATGCTGCTCAATGTATATTTATAGTTTTTTATGGCTTTAACGTTAGCACGCAACAAGCGAGATTCAATCAAGATCTAAGTGAAACTTTAAGTAATAGTTCATTATTTGTGTCGTCTATGATTCCTTTAAGATTGAAAACAAGCTGTGGAAAAATTTTATGGACTAATCAAACTCCTCAGTCTACTAGATATTGCCGTCCAAAGAGCACCGAATTTGCAAAGGAAAGTAAAGAATACGTAATTGGATTAAAGGAAAAATATGATAAAGAAATTGCTGAACACCAAGAGGTCCTGATTATATTAAAGTCTGGATAAAAATTATTTGTTGAATGTAAGCTGAATGTAAGCTATGTTTGATGTTAGATGAAAAGATTCAAGCATTTATTAAAAAGACATTTTCATTTCAACGATGTACTGTGTGCGGTTTTTCTTTAAAAGATATGAATTAACTAGTATTTTTACACAAGGAGTATTTAATGTTAACCCAGTAGCTCTACAATATGGTTTAGCATTCTTCACATGCATATACGTTGTTTTGAAGCAATTTTACACATTTCTTGTAAACTAGTTTTGCCTGAAAATCAATTGCAAGAGCAAAAATAAAAGCAAGGAAGGTTGAAATTCAAACCCGATTTGAATTTCAACCTTCTTAAAATTCATATAGACATGCCAAAATCAGCAATACATGAAACGTTGCAAAAAGAGCATTTGAAGATCCGAAGCTCTTGTCTGAAATTTTAAACATCAATTTGGAGCTTATTCAAAGGTTAAGAACTTTACTTTTGTTGTGTATTTCTCATCGATTTTCAATTGACCCAGTCAAATTTAATGAATATTGCTTCTTAACAGCATATTGGTATGTTTAATTATATAGAAAATTTTCTATGACTCCCACATTACATAAACTTTTGATACAAGACTCACAAATTATATCAAATTCAATTGTTCCTGTTGGCATCTAATACGAAGAAGTTTCAGAAAGTAGAATTAAACTTTCTAGATTAGATAGAACCAATCATGCTCGAAAATATAGTCGCCAACCTCTTTGATGTGTTTACACATGCAATCGAGACTTCAGATTTAATTCTTTCAAGTTCAAGATTACAACCAAGAATTCAAAAGTACAAGAAACATAAGATGCCATCCGAACAACAAAAAACAAGATGCCATCCGAACAACAAAAAACAAGATGCCATCCGAACAACAAAAAACAAGATGCCATCCGAAGCAAGAAAACTATTAATCTTAAATACAAATTAATGAAAACTTTG